AGAGAGAGAGAGAGAGAGAGAGAGAGAGAGAGAGAGAGAGAGAGAGAGAGAGAGAGAGAGAGAGAGAGAGAGAGAACAAAAGCTCATCTCATTTGGTCCGGGTCTGTTGAAATAAATGTACAGGTGCTTGTCAAAATTTAGAATATCATGAAAAAGTTGATTTATTTATTCATGTTTATACTTTTCGGCTGGCCAACATTTCTCAAACTCCTGTCATTTGTATAGCCTTAAGTACTGTATTACTTTTTCTCTTCTCTCGATTAATTTTCTGAGACAGTGAATTTGTTTTTTTAAAAAAAATAGTTTTCAGATATAATCATCTACATGAAAACGAATTAACACTTGGAATATATCAGTCTCCGTGGAACGAATATATGCGTTACACACGTTTCACATTTTGAATAATATTCCTGAAATAAATGAATTTATTCATGATATTAAAAGATTTTGACGAGTATCTAATACACCAATACAAAGAACCTTGTAATTACAACTTAGCAAATCTACACTGCCGGCATTGATTTGAACCAATACATTAAGGTGAATCATTTCAAAATGTTTCTTGCATCGTTTTATTTTTCTTTACGTTATAATATAGCCTGCTGATCAGACACTTCATTCTTTGACCGCGAGAGGCGCTGTTTCCTCCCAAGCTGCTGTGTACAAGTGTCGCAGCCGGAAGGCCGCCGACCGTCGCTGCCTGCTGGAAAGCAACTGCGCAGCTCCGCACCACTACCGAAGGGGCTGTACGTGAGGAAACCAGCAGGGAAACCTGGACTTTTACGAATTACCACTGGCTGTTCGTAAACATCTACAAAGGCATGACAGCGGCCAGCATTTCACCTTTCTTCGACAGTGAAGTCTCCGACAAGGTAAACGACAGCTATTGGCGCGCCGAGTTTCCCCTTATCGAACGACCGTGCTAACTAACGTTAGCATTGACACTTTTCTACCAACGAAAATGTTAAGACTGGGAATTCGAAACCTTCAAAACGCGCTCGCGTGTTGATTATACGCGATTCCGCTGCGTGTTTGCTCGACGAGGCGAGTAAAAGTATTAAATGATGGCGCGGGGCGCTTCACTATGTAATGTTTGCGATCTCACGTCAGATAAGATGACTAACAGTGTTTGGGGCTAAATGAGTTCATTCGGAGTGTTGTGTTGACGTTTGCTAAAGCAGACAATTTACAAATATGATGACCCAGAAGCTAAAACTTCAAAAAAAAAAAAGTTTCGCAACTTTATTGACCGCCCAGCTGTTTAAACGACTGCAGCGTGACGCAACAAATCGTTTTTTTTTAGCTGTCATTTCTAGTCTCGTGTAGTGGTTACGTTGTATGCATGGCCAATTTTATGGCTAAAGCGATTCGAGCATTGTGAAACCACTTGGTATATAAAATATGAGAATTCTGCTACTTTTTGAAAAGATCACCCTGTCTTGTAGACAACGTTTAGAGGGGGGGGGGGTTACATTTGGGTCAGCTGCTTCCATTTGCTTGACAGTCAACTTGAATGCAAACCATTTTTCTTGTTGTGACTGTAATTAGGGGTTTGGTAAACAGAAATGCTGACAGTGTCTCTCTTATTACATATGAGAAATGAAATGGTGCTACAGATTTTAACATGCAGCATAGAAGTGGACATGTTTGATTTACTTTTGCGGGCCGCATAAAATGATGTGGAGGGCCAAATCTGGCCTTGAGTTTGACACCGGTGTCATAGATTGTAATTTTTAGTTCTGAGATCCAGATCGTTATCAAAGAGAGTATATTCTGGTTCTTTTTTTGTGTGTGTTACAGCGTTCATACTTAATCAGGTTGATCACTAAATTGAGATCCGCATGTTGGATCACAGACGAAGAATTTCACAAAAGTGACACACGGAAATATTGAGCGTTCAATTATGCAAAGTCATTGTTCTTGCTAGTTGCATGTGGGATGGACTTTTGTATCCAACCTGTATTGTGGGGAGCTATTTTGAGTGACTGAGTGATTGAAATGCCAGAATTTTACGGCTAAGCTTCCAAAGTTTAAAACGGCTTTTGAAACAATGCTTCAAAGTCAACCAGAGAACTGATGTAGCTTTTTGTGGCACGTTTTAAAAAGCAGTGAACTATAAATTCATGTTGTTTGTTTTTAACGGTGTTGATAGACACTAGTACATCTGCACTGATTTGTTTGGATTTGAGACAGTTATCCCCCAGTAAAAAGGAAAAATTGAATTATTGTTTCCCACCCTCTGAAACGATATAAGTAATGTGTCATGTAACAATATTTAATATGTCCCACAAAATACTTAAACAGTATTTTAAGTAGTATAAAAAGTGTTTTAAAAACTGAATGTAAAGTGAAAATATTTTTATAATTTGACACACCTCACAGTTCAGTCAATTTTGAATGATTGAAAAAATTGCCAAGTACTGTATTAAGTCCCCTTTTTTTTTTTTTTTTTTTTTACCCCTCATAGAAATTCAAGCATAAGGCCCAACTAAGCATCTTCACGGTAAACATAACTTCACACAAAATGAAGTACCTACGGCTGGGGTTGGATATTCTTTTTTGGGGATAGATTATCCTATCACGATAATTCGACAATCGCACATAAAATCCTGAAAGAAAAAAAAAAAACTCAACTTGCTTCCCATTTACGGCTGGACATCTCTTGGTTATTTTTTTAAAGAGTGCTTACATTCATCTTATGCCAAACATTGCACAGTAGTAGAAGTAATAATTATTGTAGTAGTAATGATTACATAAACAAATATCAAAGAGCCAATCAAAATGCAAACCTCAGCCAATATTTTAAACCGAAGAATCATTTTTGACACTCCGGATCACTCACTGCCGACAAATTTGGCTAAAAATGAAGTTTATCATGTTTTGCTAAGGTTTGTTTGCTACGTCATCTGGCACATGTTGACTCACGGCTCCGCGAGGTTTTTTTTGTGTGTTGTGCAGATTTACTTAACTTTTCTTGAGCGGTAGTTAGGGCTCTGTGATAATTTCTTGCTGTTTTGGATCAGCGACCACTACCATATTTGTCGCTCCATAAAGGCACCCTTAAAAGTTCTTTAAGTCTCAAAAATTGATAGTGCTTCTTGTAATGCATTGCCCCCTATTTAAGGATGAATGTCGGCTTTTCAGTTCCTCGTCTTCAATTCCAATTCCTTCCTATTACAGTTGCGTTGTCATTTTCTTCTGCATCCAATTGCTAGCATTTCATCATACCGGAACGAGGACTACTTCCTGCTTTTATGGCTCACAATCATGGGGAATGTAGTCTTACCCGCCAAGTTTGTACTATTTCCAGTGTTACAATGTGGGACAATATCATTGCGGTCTGTGGGACCAAGACATCAACCTAAAGTTAAATTCCTTCGTATTTAATTTAACATTCATGTTGGCGTTCTCATTTTCGTCAAGATGTAATCGCTAGCAGGCATCTGTTTTCGTCATACTGGGACAAGAACTCCATCCTGCTTTTGTGGCTAAGAATCATGGGAAATGTAGTCCTACAAGCCTTCTGCTGGATTTGCCGGTTAGCTGCAATGTCAGATAAACCTTTCTAGTGGCATATTGGAAATATAAATGTGGGGCTGGACCGGCATGGCGGAGACGTCAGCCAGCTGCAATCGCTGACAAGAGCAAAAAAAAAAAAAAAAAAAGCTAAATTATAGTATAAGATTTAGCATTAGCCAAAGTACCGTATTTTCCACACTATAAGGCGCACCTAAAAGCATTCAATTTTCTCAAAAGGCAACAGTGCGCCTTATAATCCATCAATGCGCCTTATATATGGATCAATATTCTGATATCTTGGACGTAGTATTTTAAATGTTCTTTAAAGCGCTTTGTTAACAGCTGCAGCGGTTGTGAAGACTGTATAAACAAAGCTGTGTTGAATTGTATTTCCTTTAGCGTAGCTCCATCTAGTGGATGCATAATGCAGCCGCTATTGGAGCTTCTATTCTTTGCGCCTTATAACGCAGTGTGCCCTGTATATGAAAACAGTTTTAAAATAGGCCATTCATTGAAGGCGCGCCTCATATATCAAAGCGCCTCAGTGCGGAAGGTACGGTAAATAACAAACCCACCTGGTCACCAGATTGACTAGCGATGTTCATACTTTTTTTTCATCTGTCGGAGGATCCCAACCTGTATATCCATAAGATTTGATCAATGCTACTACGACTATGATTTCCCGAAAAAGAGATGATTTGAACATATCATGATACTATTCAACATTGTACAAATAGTTATTTAGTGTCAAAGAAAACTTGTGTTGAGCAGCAAGATGGTGTTAGGCTGCAAAAGTGGGTGAGATTTACATTTTCTATTTGTTGAAGATTGGTTGTGTTCCCTTGTGCCATTTTAATCGGGGCTTGGAAGTGCGACCATTCTGCTCGCAAATGCTCCTGTTTTTTTTTTTTTTTCATTGTGTGCTGGTTAAAAACTCCATCCGGTTGCACAGCGCGACATACAACAAGGCCGCTCCCCGTCTGCATCCGCCTTCCAGACCTCACACACCGAAGGGGTAATGCGGGTCAGGTTAAATCCTTCCTGTCCAAATGAAACAAATAAATATCCAAATCTGGATGTGTGCTTTGCCAAACGAACGGCCGTCTAACGTAACGAGCAGTATTTGCTTTATAAATAACTGCCTTCCATCCAGCTCTCCCATTCACTGAGTTGAGGTTCTCATGACCGGCTTCGCATTTTGCCAATAGAGACTGCTCGCGTGTCTACTTTCACAGCTACATCTGGAAATATAAATTGTGTCGGGTAGTACTGTTGAAAAACACTGTCAATGGCTGGTTGGGTCTCGAACTATTGACTTGTATTTAAGCGATGGCTGGCTGAAACATTGACACCTCGATGCGTTATTGGCGACAACGCTCACAATAATTTGGGTTTTATAGCAATCAACCAAAGCTGATCTATCAAGAAGAATGATAGGGGTGAGATTACTTTGCAATTTGACCTGATTACAATCACCATTCCATATTGTCACTGATGTCATAGTACCGCTTCCAACCCAGCCGCTGGGGAGCAGTGCCCTCCCCTGGGGGTACACTGTTCCCCGGTGCC